GGGGATATAAAATTAAATTGCTAACTGACATTCCACCAATCAAGGAAATACTAAAACAGAAACTGCAGGTAAAGGCAGAGAGAACATGACGATACGAAAAGCGTTGTGAGTTTTATCGCCAAAATAAGATATTCCAAGACCTTAAGAAATGTTACACTGATATTGGAAAAGCAGTTATACATGTCAAAAAGTCACCATCTATTGTAAAAGTGCAAACATTTTCGGCGAATATTTAGAGTTTACCAAAGGAATATAACCCCAGTGCAGAGTGGATCCAACAAGAGGAACGAATGATGGATAAATCTCTACAAAATGGGAAAATATAACCAAGACTAATGCTAAGGAATTTCTAACGAAATCCAGAAAATGGAAAACCCTTAGAAATGACAAGGTACCCAAGTTTGGGCTTTGGTATCTGTCATCAATCCATAACACCCTTGCACAAATTTTATCAATGTTTATTAGTAAACCCAATGAAGTCCCAGAATGGATCACTGAAGGTGTTACATATCTCAGGCCAAAAACGACTGTAAGTGATGATCCGAAAAATTATAGACCAATAACATGTCTGTTCACCACGTATAAATTGATGTCGTCTGTCCTGACGAACTGTACTTATTCTTTTCTTAAAGAAAACAACATTCTTCCCCTGGAACATAAGGAATGCAGGAGAGTTCATATAGTTGCAGAGATCAGCTATTGGTAAACAAAATGATCCTGGAAAACTGCAGGAAAACAGGTAGAAATCTGAGCAGAGCATGGATAGATTACCGTTATGCATTTAATAGTGCCGCACTCCTAGATACTTAGGACTTGGGAAATGTCACCTGCTAGTATATTTCATTAATCCTACCATGGGTATGTGGAAAACCATATTATACCTAATTCATACCAAAGGCACTGCCACTTCTCATGGCCTAAATATCCGACGATGTATCTTTCATTAAGACTCCCTGTCACTCATTCTGGTTTGTTTGTCCTTAGTCCCCTTTAAACATGAACTAAACAATAAAAGCTATGGATACAAAGTAAACAAGAAATTGTTCAATCACCTACTCTACATGGATGATCTCAAACTCTTTACCAAAGAAAACAATAAGTTAAAAGGTCTCTTCAATATTGTAAAATGTTTCAGTGATGACATAGGTATGGATTTCGGATTAGATCAATCAGTTACATGCAATACATGATACACGCTTAAACGATCATGTATCTTTCGATACATGACAGGCGAGGCAGATTTTTTTCCCGCAGTAGGTTTCCATTTCTTTCTGCGGTAGACCAGTGGCCATCCAAGGCTATAGAACCCGGATTGTCCTGCTATTTATCCATAGCTGGATGGAGAAGACGAGGATTCATACATTTCCCAAGGGTATTCGCACGTAAATGTATGTAATCGATTCTACTGGAATTCGAACTCGGCTTCCTGAATCACAGTCGCTATCCATTACTCCACCGTGCCTCTCGTTCGGATTAGATAAATGTGCAAAAGTAACATTCAAGAAAGGGAGAATTCACCCAACAGATCTAGATTTTGTCACAAAGATTATGGACCTGGAACAAGAAGAAGCACATAGGAATTAGCGAATGAGATGGAATTCAGCATACCCAAATGAAGTAGAAATAAGAAAAGAATATTACAGGTGTGTGCGTTTCGTATTGAATACCGAGATGAATTAAAAAATATATATATAATATCAGCGATAAACACCTTGGCTGTCCCCGTGGTGCACTAGTTTCAACATCCTTAACTGGACCATAGCTGACATTAAGCGAATGGACGCTAAAACGAGAAAACCTCCCACTTTCTACTGTATTCATCACTCCAAGGCTGATGTTGATCGTCTTTATGTGCTCAGATCCGAAGAAGGCAGAGGATTAGTTCAACTACAACTGTCTTGCAAAACTACAGCAATCATTGTTCAAAGATAAATGAAAATTAAAGAAGACTGGATAATGATCTATGTCAAAGAACATGAAAGAAGTAAGAAATTTTATTCTGTAATAAAGGCAGCCAAAAATCTCAAAAAGTTGTTACAAGTCGGTTTAAGTAAAACATAATACACCTGCAGCTGCAAAAACCTTAAAAAGGAAACAAAAGTAAATGCAATCGACCAGATACAGAAACGATGGCAGGATAAACCACTTCATGTTCAGTATTCAGCTGGTACCAAATAATCTGATGTAAACAAACCACTTACCCATCTGTGATTAAGTAATGCAAAGTTAAAAGGTGAATTCAAATTTTTTATTCTTGCTGCACAGGACCAATGCTTGCTAACTAGAAATTACCCAACACACATACTGAAAAATTACGTTAGCCCCAAATTCAGATTCTATGATAAATATCAGGTTGCGCGGTATTGGAAGCCACTGAATATAAAACTCGGCATAACGGAGTGGACCAATATCTTCTTTCGAAATCTGCTACTTTTAACGGAAAGGAAACTGCAAGAAAATGGTATGAAAATCACCCAGACTCAGTTAAAGAGATCGGACCGATAACAAATTTATTGGACCACACAATACACACAGAACGATCAAAGCTAATCATCCTGACATTGTGATTAGAGACTGCAAAGACAAAGTGTGCCTTCTTATTGATATGGCAGTCCTTGTAGACTGTAATGTATCGTGAAGATCTTCAAAAACCTATCAAAATACATGGACCTTGAAATCGAAATCTTCAAAATGTGGAACATAATGGTATCAACAACTCCAGTTGTATTTGGAGCCATCGGACTGATTGAAAAAGATTCCAATTGACACAGTGAAGTGATTCTTGGCCAATGCCTTAAAGAAATACAAAATATTGTACTCACAAGTACGGCCCACACCTTACGAAGGGCTTTTTTCAGATGTTGTGCGTTTCTTTTTCCTCAAAAAATGCACAGTGGAAAATGTCATGATGTCATTTCTGAGTTTAGGTCTCTGTTTAGAACCCGGAAAGAAATTATTATAGACCAGAAATCAAAGAAAATAAAGTACTGTCTGAGGTATTTCTTTTGACTTGGCTGGCAAAATGTTCCCTTGTAATTATGTCCTCTGCAGAACAACACCATCATGATGAATTCGAAAAAGAAGAAAAAAAAGAACTGATAAATTGACAAAAACTGAAATATTGATTCCATCAGTAAATCCATTACTAATCAGCAGGATTTTCTTTCGAGAACCCATACGGATCCTTTATCTTGCTCTTACATTGTTTACTTAATTTATCCTGCGTTCCCGTAAAACAAGTTATTGACAAGAAATATAAATGGATATTATACACTGAAACTCTATCTATAAAAAGCAGGTTGTGTGTGTGTGTGTGTGTGTGTGTAACGAATGCACGGCCGCAATTTTCAACGGATTTGCACCAAAATTTACATGTACATGTTCCAAGTTAGCAGAAAGGCCAAGACCGATTTTGCATTTCCCAACTCCCATCGATAGTAGAAATAATCGATTTTTTCATGCTTCTACGGCAGTTTTCATGTAGTTTGCGGCCAATTTCTACTGGCCAGAGTGAGAGCCTATAGCTGGCTGACACGAATAGGCAGGAAGATTCTATTGGCCAGCGTGAGAGCCAACAGCTGACTGACACGAACGTTAACTAGTATTCTAGCATGCAAAAAAATCGATAGTTGCATTCGTCACAAGTGGGAAAAATTTAAACCTGCATGGCACTTTACACCAATTGGCTCATTCGTTTGCTTAAACTCAACGTTGATTCTGATTCCGCAGAACTTGGTTGGGTGTGAAAAAGTATTGTTAACATTCATTTTTCAATCGGTTTTTCCAGTTACGTGTCCTTTTTTAAAGCTGAACGATTTGTGTTCATTTTGTTTAGTTCTTTTTTCGTAACAGATTTAATGTTTAGTATAGATCTTAGAAAAAATTCGCAGTGTGAGATGGGCAAGAAATAAGGCATATAGCAATATCAGCACGGCAAAGGTCACTCCTTTAAATGCTAAGAAGGGCAGAAATATTTTAAGTCAGGTGATAGCAATTGTTGTACGAGTCGTACGATTTTTTAATCAAGCACGGGCAACGCCGGGTCATGCTGCTAGTCTACTATAAACTATGTTTTTTAATAAATTTAAGTATAGCCATATGTTTTAAAAAAATATGTTCCTTAATAAAACTTGGAAAATATTGATTTCCATAATAATATCTGACAACGTATATTCCAAATATGCTGAATTTTCAATCCAAACATTGATAAATTTTATATAATGAGTAATTGACCTTGAAAACATTTATTTCCTCAGCTACTCAATTTTATCTTCCTCATTAAATATTTTTAATTATTTCCTTTTGAGTTGCTTTGAAATTTTAATGTTAATAAAATTCTATAGCAACGATCGCCAAATATTATATGATAGCGTTATTAACTTTCGTTTATAAATGAGAGCAGGCTTCGTGCCCGCAGGAGAGCGAGGAATAGTGTGATATACTGCTGCTAAATCACACGCCATGTAAGCCTTGAGCCCACGAATACCAATTTGTCCCCCACCTTCCAGTCTTCACAGTCTGGGTAAAGCGTCGGAAATTTCGCCAGCACCTAATCTGGTGCTGGCGAAATTTCCGACGCTTTACCCACTGCTGGGGCTCCTGGCGTGGTCGGCCACGTTGTCGCCGGCAGTTTGCAGATGGCGAGTCGAAGTGTTAGATGAATTTGGTAATGTGATCCTCAGTTCGTCGCAGGATGTGACCGAGCCAGCTAACACGGCACTGAACGATGGTGCATTGGATTTTCAGGTGGTGGTATAATTTAGATCAAATAAATTTTTTAAAGATTACTTTTTTTTTTCTGTTCAGGTATTATGTATATAATGACATGTTTAAGGGACAGTCTCGAGTTTTCGAAAAAAAAAATACTGTTGGGGCTATAGGCAAACAGCTAGAAATTACGCAGAAAAATAATTGTCCAGCCAAAGATAATATATTTATTAATCACTGAAAATATTCAACCGGCAGTAAAATGAAATGGACGTCTAAATTCGGTTGCAATTCTAGGATAGATAGATAGATAGATAGATAGATAGATAGATAGATAGATAGATAGATTGATAGATAGATAGATATGAACAGTTTGATAATGAAAAAATAAAAATATGAACAGCTATAGATTTCTTCAAATTATTGAAGAATAATATATTACCAGCAATAAAAAATTTAGTCGGCATTAAATAATCCATTGAGGTTGATATGCCGTAAAAAAACCCAACCCAAACCAAACCAATATATGCTCAGATAGATAGATAGATAGATAGATAGATAGATAGATAGATATTATCAACAATAAAAAAATTTCGGCATTGAATAGCCCATTAAGGTTGATATGCCGTAAAACAAACCAAACCAAACCAATATATACTGAGATAGATAGATAGATAGATAGATAGATAGATGAAAAGAGAGTGAGGGAGAAGAAAAATGATTTCTAAAGATAAGTTTCCCACTATTTGACCCATATCTGGAGAGAGGAGACAGATTCCCAGGTGTATTTTCGCGTACGTGAATGTAACAAACCCTACTGCAATTGGAACTCGGCCCTCCGGTTTGTCATTCCGAGCCGCTATCGATTCATCTGCCCAGCCACCAGAGAAAGGGATAGATTGAAGGAAGGAGAGAGAAAGAGAGAGAGTGAGAGAGAGAGAGAGAGAAAGTAAGATGATAGGTAAATAGATGAGAAGTTTCACGAAGCCAAAATAATAGGACATTGTGCGTTTAGCTGACAGGCAGAAGCAGTTAGGTTGATATCCTGTTGTCAGGTGACGTAGGACAGTATCAAGCAAAGCACTCATGAAGAGCTGTCAATATTGGTATTAAGAACAATTTATAAATACACTAATCTTTTTTTGAAGGATGACAACTTTAAAATTATGACATATAATCAAATTACGCAAGACGCAATACAGAAATGCGTTTAATTTTTTTTTTTACAATCAAAACAGAAAAACAACCCCACTGAAAATCAGAATTAAAACGTTTGTTTTTATCATTGAGTGTTTAGATGGCAGGATATAGGCAAATACAAAACACACACACAGACACACACACACACACACACATACATATATATATATATATATATATATATATATTTATAACTGCTATTTTATATCTAAATAGGTATTCTTCCTTAAAATTAAGGTGGTAAGAGACTCTGCTAGTAGTTTTTTTTTTATATATAATGAAGTGAGGGATGCGATATTACTGTAGTGTACAAGAACATCTAAGAATGAGAATTTATTTATTGTTATTCAGTTCATAAGTAAAGGAGGGAGTTATTTCGAATGTCGTTTTGAGATTGTCAATTTTTGTTTATTTTTCGCTAAAACACCCGTAAGAACCTACCAAACTTCATCCAAAATATACTAGTAGAAAATACAAATATAATAGCCTCATCCACATATATAAAAAAAAGGTAAAAAAAAAAAAAATATGTAACACCTAACAATAAAAACGGAAAAAAAAAATCAGCACAATAATATTAACTATGAACACGGCTACAATGTGCTGACGGTGTTCGAAAAATATATCATTCTTTTAGCATTAGACAGGTACATTAAAAACCCGCATATTCAGTTGAAAATAAAAATCACCAGTGATGATGACTAAAAGAATAGGTGAAAATGTTTGGAGATGCTGTAGTTTTGGACAGATTTTACCCACTTTGTGTCCAGAAAAGTAAACACTTGTATAAACAGAAGAAAAATTAGATAAAAAGCTCAATAGCAATATTTGCAAAACATGAAACACACAGACACAGAGACACACACAAAGACACGTGCACACACACACACATACATACATATATATATATATATATATATATATATATATATATATATATATATATATATGATAAAATGTGTTTATGCTACATGTTTGGGGTAAAATTAATGAATATCATGAAAAGTGCGTTTGTAAATATAAAAGTGGACATAGCGGTCAACGCTGATCTGCACCAAATTGTTTAATTCTTGGTGATCATCTCAATGTCCAATTCATATATATATATATATATATATATATATATATATTTGGTTGGATAGAGGTGAGTTTGTGAGCCTGGGTTTCACGCTTTAGCGATTGTCAGACAAACTGATTAATGTTTTAAAAAATTTGGGTTCATGTAGATTGCGTGTATTGGTGTTATTGTGGAAGTGGTGGGGGAAATTTCGTCGTTTTGTCATTCATCGTACTAACGCAAACATCGATGTATGCAGACACATATACATACTTGGTCGTCCGTCGGGACTCATACATATACAAACGTACGTGGGCAGTTTCGGCTATGACACATGTATGTATACGGGTGGTGTTATATCTATACATACGCATTTGTATGTTGAAATGTTGAAATTTAAACATTGGAAGTGTGGCGGAAATGTCTCGTTACCGTATACATGTCATATTAAGTGTTTTCGCGCTGAAAAATATTTCCTCGCATGTATGTATATGCGTGTGGTGGGGTTTGTGTAAAATTATGATAGGTAAAAGTTATTATTATTTATATTTATATTTAAATTTTTGAAAAAAACAATGGGGGTTTATTTGTTATATTTAAAGCTGGTTATTTGTTTGTTTTTGGTGACTGTGTATATGTAACAGGTAGAAATTTGTAATCCTTATTGGATAATTTATATGGTGATGTTTAGTTTAATATTCAATGTGCTGGGTGAGAGGGTAGTTCAATTTAATAACGGGTCTATATGATATGATGTGATAGTAATGTTTCAAGGCATTGTAGACAATGATAGTTAGCTAATAATTGTTGTAAATTGGTAGAAATTGTAAATTGGTAGAAATGATTAGTAACGGTGGTGGGAGATTAAGAGAAAAAAGAGAAGTAAAACCATGAATGTAGTTATAGTGGTGGTAGCTTGAACTAAAAAGTGGTTGTTGGTATTTTATTTTATTTTTGTTTTATTTTGTTATATGTATTAATTTATTTTGGTATAATTCCTGATAATAGGTATTCTGTGTAAAATTATGGGAGTTGGAGATTGCTATAACTTTTAATATTTTAATTACAAAATTATTATTGTTATTATATTAAAGCTGCCTGGTAATAGGTGTTTATTCTCATGGCTACATATGGAAATTATATCTGATCATATTGTTTTAAGGTATTAAATATGCTGGGGGAGTAATAAAGATTGTAGTGGATTTATATGTTAATAGTGGGTGTGATGTGTAAGTGATGGTGCTGTGCGTTGGTGGTAATGATAATATTGTTAGTTAAAAGGTATTGTAGTAAAAGTGATTACTAATGGTGGTGTAATTATAATAATGATAGATGCAATTATTTTGATGGTATCTTGAAATTAAATTGTGATTGTTGGTGGTTTGTCTGTTTTATCCGTTTGGTATGGATTCGGATAATAGGTACTTGTTCTCATGCCTACATTTGGAGATTATCTCTGATTTTTTTGTTTAGTAAGTTATTTTGCGGTTTGTGTGATATTATTGCTACTTTTCGTGTAGGCAAAAGTAGGCATTTTTCGTAATGTTGTTGTAGGCATGGGCTTTTTCAATATTTCCCAACTTATTGTTGGTGTGATGTTTTGTCTTTTTTTGCTGCCATATGTATGTAGAAAGTGTTGTGCTGTTCGAATATTTCCTGTTGTTGAATGAAAGGTTGTGATTGTTATTCCTCATTTTGAATGGACCTTCGGTGGCACCGATGTAGTGCATAGTGTTGTTGTTTGTACTTACCTTGGCCTTGTATATTGTGTTCGTAATTTGGCAATTTCCTTGGAGTGGACATGTTGTTCTGTTTCTGCAGTTCCATATTGGATCCTTGGTTATATTTTTGTAGGTTTCATTTTTTTGTTGTGGCTTTTGATTATTTCTGTTATGTTTTTTTTTTGTACAGCTGTAACTGATCTTTACGTTATTTTAGATAGATATGTTTATATATGTATGAGTCCCGACGGACGACCAAGTATGTATATGTGTCTGCATACATCGATGTTTGCCTTAGTATGATGAATGACAAAACGACGAAATTTCCCCCACCACTTCCACAATAACACCAATACACGCAATCTACATAAACCCAAATTTTTTAAAACATTAATCAGTTTGTTTGAGGATCGCTAAAGCGTGAAACTCAGGGTCACAAACTCACATCTATCCAACCAAATATGTGAGCTCTATCTCTGATATTGAGCGCTTTCTAATAAGTACCTCGCATATAATATATAAATAATTATACAAACTTATATTTATTTATATTTATATACACTTTTCACACACATGTATATATATATATATGTATATATATATGCATATAAATATATATATATATATATATATATATATAAATATATATATATATATATATATGTATATATATATATATATATAAATATATATATATATATATATAAATATATATATATATATATATATATATATATATATATATATATATATATATATATATATATATGTGTGTGTGTGTGTGTGTAGGTATGTATGTATGTATATGCTTCCACATCTGCTTTCTTATATCTTTAATTCACTTTTTTCTCTTAATCTCATTTCCTGTGAGATGATTCACTAAATAGGTAAGTGTCTGGTCCTTACCCCCCCTCCCTTACTTTTAAGTGTCTTAATAAATATAGATTTAAAATTATTCCTATCTCTCCCTTCCCTATCTATTTTCGACCATATCTGTCATACTCCTCCCCCTCTCTCTATCACCTCACATCAACTTTAAACTAACCCTCAATTTTTTTTAAAATAATACGTAAATTTTAAAAAAAATTTTCACCCTTGGAAGTGGGGTATAATAAACCTGGTAAAAACTACATAGCTGTTGAAATATCTTATAATCAATTGATCTTTAAGGTTTTCCAATTAAATTGAATAAATAATTGCTCTAGTTTGACATTGAGCTCTCTGGATTATATCCTCCTTGGGATTATCCAAACGGCTTACCAACTTTTCATTACTCATATATATATATATATATATATATATATATATATTAAATAAAAAACAGACCACTTTAAGGTTCCATGTAATAAATTATTTCACCACAGCCCTTTTAAAAGATCTGGATTTATTGCTAAACAAACCTAATGAATTAATTTTTAAATGCCGACATAAGAACAACCTAAATCTAACTAAATATATTTAGGAATAACTATATAGGAAGACTAATATTACATGATCTTGGTTTTGTTTTTGGAAATGTTGCTATGCACATATAAATGCGAATACATAACTGTATGTATATAACTATATAATTGAACTTGAACATTGATACGTCTTTTGATATGTATATGTATATGTATATCCGTTTATATGTAAAGATGTCATACATGTGTTATTTTTGTGTATTGCGGGCACATTTTTGGAGTGGGTGGGTATGGTTATGGATATGTATGTATATATACTTGTATGTATATAGGTGAGAATTTTTTTTTATATATATATGTAGTTATATGTATATATGGGTGTATATATGTGTATGTGCGGGTATGTGGGTACATGTATGTGTGTAGATGTGTATGTATACATTTTTTTCTAATTTCTATATATGTATGTGTGAATGTGGGTGTATATATATATAGATGTGTACATGTATGTATTTCCATAGATAGTGTATGTATGTATGTATAAATATAAGTAGTTGTGAGTTCATATATATAATATGGTAGAATATAGATATAATAAGGTAATTAAGTATGGACTTTGATATGTTTTTTGCATGCACGCACAGGTGGGTGTATATATATATATATGAATATTTGTGTGTATGTGCATATGTATATATATGTGTATA